CTCAGAACACTGGTGTTTGGAATCACAACGAGGAATTGACAGATTCACCATGATTTCAGTTCTGCTTGGAAAACCCCCCAAGATGCGTAGACACTCTGGAACGGGATGTGGAGGAAGGAGAGGAGTTCTTTTCGTTGAGAATGAGAGGCATTTGGCCTCTCCTCGGGGGGTGAGCTCCTACCTGTAACCTCTGCACCATAAGGGCGCCTGGGGCGGCAGTTTCACGAAGACCCCATTCCCGGAGCATAAAATCCGTTCTTGCTCAGCGTGCCCCTCGGTGGTCTTCAGTGCACGCTCAGAGCTGTGCGGCCGCCACCACAGTCTAACGGTGGCGCATTCTCACGACCTCAAGTGGGAACCCCAGACCCAGTAGCAGTCGCTCTCCACCCCCTCGCTGTCCAGCCCCGGGCAACCACTAATCTGCTTTCTGCCTCTGTGATTTGCTTATTCTGGACATTTCATATAAATGAGACCCTACAACACGTCTTATGAGGTTTTAATCAAGAAAAATGAAGGCCAGTTTCTAACGGAGGAAGATGGGGCACGCGGAGAGGCTTACATAACCCGGGCAGACAGCAGGCGGACGAGCGGAGTGCTGGACAAGGGTCCACTTTGTCCCTGGCCCCCACGTGCCGCTACAGAGCCTGCCACGGGGTCACCCGGGCCACCCACCCTCCCCTGGCTGAAGCTCCCTCACCTGAAAAAGCCATTAGGGGCTCTTCTGGCTCCGAAACGTCATGATTTTAAGGGAAAGTACCACTTTTATCAAAGGACAGTAAGTAGCCTTATCTAATCTGAGCTGGCACAACAAGCAGCAGGCAGGTGCCTTCCCCTGGCGAGGGCCACGCCCAGCGGCTGTGGCCTCGCTCGGCGCCCCGCACGTGTCTGGCAGCTGATGCCAGGGCAGCAGGTGAGGTCCTACCTTCTGGCAGAATCTGGTGGTGGGCCCGTCCTCGGCTGACTCGGCAAACTCCGTCCACGGGAGCTTCTCTCTCGTGCAGAACGCGAAGGGCATGGCTGCGAGAGGAAAGGTCGGCATCACACCCCACGCTCAGGGCCTCTGCGGGGGCTCCGTGGCCTGGCAGCAGGGGGTCCCCACAAGAGCACGCGGCCCTGAGTGCCTCGGGCTGGCTTCCTGGTCCCCCCCCCCC